CACAAGATTGGTTTGTTGACCGGTGCAACCGATATAGTTCAATTTCTCCCGCGTTTGGGTCCAAAGAAAGACGTTGGGTCGGATCTGATTGGCCCACGAGAATCACTGCATGCACACAACGCATGTTTTGTACACCTCCACAAAGTATACATGTTGCATAAGAATACGGATAAGAAGTTAACGCTTGGTTGCACTCGATCGGAACATGCTCACATAATGATTAATCGTTCTTCGTTGAGTTGGTCTATATGACATGGCAACCGCCACACCAGGCGATCCAGGCCATCATTGTGATGGTCACAAATGTGATTCGCCAAGCTTTATGACACATCACGCCTTCAGGCATCACAAAAACGCGTATATTGAGGCTCCAAGAGGGTTTGCACAATTGGAGAGATCAAAAATCTCCTTCTAATACGCAAGGCAGTGAAGTACCTCTCAGCTATCACCAAGGACCAATTTCAATGAAAGGTTTGTATCGATACCTAGACTGTAGCTCTTTTCCCGTCGTTTAAAAACGGGAAAAACAAAGAATGTTTGCTCCGAATTGATCTCGCCCATTTGTCGCCCATTTCGATCAGACGATTTTGCACATATTACGAATGGTTCTCATAGCAGGAGCTCGTTGAAGCAAAGTACGCTTTTAACATGCATACTGAGCTCGACCGTTCCCGTTCGAAGACTAGCCAGGTCGGATGCTATTGATGCCGCCCCTTCCATCTACATTGCCATAAGTTGGTTCAGTTGCGCTAGGATTTGAGGGTGCATGCGCGCCATTGCGGAGTTGAATGTGCTCTCCCCGTGCACGGACTTGCAAGCCGCCAGCTGCTTGAGCACTACGAGTCCCACGTTGAGAATATTGGTGGGGTCCGTCTCATAAACCTGCAGCGACAGAAAAGATTGCTCACTACTTAAAGAGCGGGCTGCCGATTTGACGTCGAGAAGGGCAAATCCTGCATCCGCTCCTATTTCTGGACTCATCCCATGTCTTTCTCGCAACTTGCAGTGGTCAGTATACAGCAGCGTCCGTGCAAACACCGTACTTCTCGCAAACAGTCAAACAGATGCCGGATCGCCTTATGACCACTTTGCGGACGAAGGATGTTGCTTCAGCAAGACGTCCGAGCCTCACCTGCCGCCTCCGTACATGCTCCCCTTCTTGCGAGGCCCCAAGGCTGCCGTTTGCCGTCCCACAGACCGCTCCGTAGTCCGACCTGCAGCGAGGAACGGACGGACGGAACTTCAGGAGAGCGCTTTTTGCAGCAGACTCAGCAGATCAAGCAAGTAAGGAGCAGGGACGATGAAACGCTGTTTGCAAATCCAACATGATCTACATTAGAAGAACAAGTGGAAGCTGAAGGTGAGCCAGTCCTTACTCGTAGGGCACGGCTTCAGTGTCTCCGTCTGTTTCGTGGAAGACACCTGTGGATGCACTGCAAACAACCCACATGAAAGCTCGACTATCAGTCAACATTGACGTTACTGAGGCAAGCCACCGAACATAGCTTGAGATCAGCAAGCGAAGCAAACAGCCTTCAGCAGAGGACGGCTTCATTTTTGATGATGTTGCGTTATTGACAGGATCCGGATTGCTGTCATCTAGCAACCGGCCTCGTCAGTCTGGCTGAAACGGGGGAAAGTTCAAGCAGATGTCGGAGCCTAATAGTAGGGAAGGCGCATGGTCCGCGGTGGCCAGCTTGAACGGCCCTACCTGACGATCTGCTCCAGCCTCTCGAGCACCGCGTTCTCTTTGAGAGGAAGGACGGCACAGAGCGCGAGCGCGCACAGCTTCCGGCGGGGGGCCGTCGTCATGGAATCAAACTGCGATGGCAGGGCGCAGGATGAGCAGACAGGACAACGACGTGCGGAAACCTAAAGCTGGTCAAACACGAGATTCGCTGGTCTCTGCTCTCCTGTTCCTTCAGTGTACAACCGGAACAAGGAGGCAAGGGACTTGAGTCGCTCAAGATATGGATGGACGGTCGTGAAGCCAACGCACAGCGGCTCACCTTTTCTAAGAGGCAGTCTACGTACACAAAGAGCGGAGCTTTTGCGGACTGAGTAAGAGCAGGGATGGCAGTTGCGGCCCGAGGGAGGAAGTCCAGAAAGAAGGCCGTGTTCTGGAGCAGGACGCGTGCGAGCACGGCAGCAGCGGCGGCTTTAACCAGCTCGGACTCTTTCATGGTGCCCAGCACGATGGCCAACAGCTTCTGCAACGAGTTCAAAGAATCGCGCATGAGCGCAAGCATTCGTCCGCACGACTTTGATATGGCGCTCCAGAATAGCTGTCAATAGAGCGCGTACCACCAAATCATGCGGGAGTGCATGGAATATGAGAAGATTGTGAGGATCGTGGCTCAGAAGGAGCGAGCCCGTCAAGACGATGTTGCAGGAGATGCGACAGTGGGAACGAGGAATCTTCTAGTCGTAGATTCTGAGCTCTACCTGCAGAGTAGGCTCTATTACTGCAGGGGACTCCATAGGAAAGCACTGCAAACAGAAAACTATGTGTCAGGGGCTTAGGCACATGGGCGCTCGCGGATCTCCGTCCTTTCTGTAATCCTACGTTTCCGTCGTCTAATAATAGACTGCAGGGCCATCAGCCGACTTAAGCAAGGGAGGCGGCCGCCGCTCCTCACAACGACAGACGGCATCTGAGAACGACAACGAAGGTTTCCAACATTCAAGTACTCTGTCCCGCGTTCGCTATCACGCTCAACCAGCCTTTTGAGGGCCTCTCTTCAACAGTGTTAAGATTCAGAAGTTGGGACAATGATGAGTTGTAGTCTGACGACGCTTCCGCCTTACTTGTGTATTCCTCCTACCTGTATCAGAAGGTCGACTGCCGGCAGCGCTGCGGCGTAGCCCTTTTCCTTGATGTTTCCCACCACCAGCTCGAAGATGTGGGCGACCCGCTGGGCGTGCAGCTGCAGGAACTGGGCGCCACCCAACAGAATGTAGCTCTCTAGAATGCTCATGGCCGCCTGCGCAAGAACAAAGAAGTCCCTTAGCGTCATGTGGATTACAACGTGGTCTGACCTGAAGAAGCTGACATTCATGGGAACTCTACTGAGTGCTCCGCCAAAGAAGCTCGCAGTCCTATTATCGAATGCGTTTGGTCCTTATGGTTGGATGAATGTAGAGTACCTGTACTGTTGGGACATTTCGAGGAGAAGCGACATAACCGATAAAAACAGGAGGGGTGGACGAACAACCGTTGACCTTAATGTCGTGCTCATAGAGAGAGCCACGCTTTTGACTACGCGAGTGAGATGCAGCAACAGAAGCCGCTTTTGGAGAGTCAGCACAGGTCTCACAGGCTCGTACCGGCAGGTGATCGAAGCTCTTCTCCATGACGGCCTCCAGGTGTGGGAACAGGTTCACCAGGTCCAGAGTCACGGCGGGAGTGTGTCGCAGAACCGTCTGCCACAGCTGCCAGAAGCCGAGGAGAACCGTCAGAAGATTGCGGCAAAGTTGTCCACCTGCTGAGCAAACGCACGTGGCAAAGATTGCCATCCTCATTAGCAAGTCCTCAGCAAACAATCACAAACTGAACTGCCCAACTCAAGTAGGTACCACTTATTGTGCAATAGCAGCGTAAAGACCGGGTAGACGCCAAGCGAGCCGAGGGAGGAGTGTCCCGTCGCCTCACCAGCATGCCGTCCTCGAGCATGTTGACCTCGTCGGGCTGCGTGACGTCGGTGCTGTAGCGCAGGATGGGCAGCACGACGGGGTGGCACACCGTGGAGCGGGGGCCCAGCGCGTGGACCAGCCGCTGCAGCGCCAGCAGCACCTGGATGCGGATCAGGCTCTGGCCCTCGAACGACGTCCACACCTGCACCTAGCAGAAAGCGAGCGTGAGGCTCCTGATTCTGCACAAGCCGCTTACTAACGTCACGTTATAGGTAGGCTGAAGATGGACAGTCATGACGTCTCCAGAGTCTCAGCGTTCGGGTCATCTTGACTCGGTTTCAAAGTAGAGGGACTCTGCGATCAGTAACAGAAGTCATCCCGTCTTGAAAGGGGCGAAGTGAGCAGTGGATCCTCAAACCCTTGGCTCAACAGCACTTGGGTGCGTGCCGCCACGTGCAATGTTTACCCACTTCAACGGCTGGTTCAAAAAGGTGAGAGACTTACGTTTGGGAAGATGGCGAGCAGCTTCTCGGCGAAAGGGACGATCTTGTCGCCTATGCGCTCAATGATGAGGGACACCAGGTTGAAGCCTTGAGACTGCAACGACAGTGATGGGGTTCGTCTAAAAGGGCCTGACCAGAAGGAAGCCATTGAAAGGTGCTTTATACACTTCAGCACGCCTTTCTCTTGTAGTTGCTCAAATGTGTTTCCAGCATATCAGTCTCCGATGTTGCAACGCCTTGCAGATCTTGCATCAATAAATGGCCAATCTGCAGGACCAAGTGCCATGAAAGAGACTTCGCAACAGACGTAACAAAGAGAAAGAAGGAATCGAATCCGCAATAGCCGCTCTAAATTGAAGACTTCGTCAGTCACCTGAGATTCGAAGTTGGTGGCTTTGTACAAGAACTGGAAGAGAAACTGGAGGAACGCCCCCAGAAATTCCTCGAACTCGTGCTCGAAAAAGTGGACGTCGTCGATGAGCGCACGCAGCGCGCCAATTGCGCTCAGCTGCAGGCGGGGCGGCGACGTAAGGAAAAGGCCGAAGGCAAGCCTTCCTGCCGATTCACTTCCGCCATTCAGAACCGCAACACAAATGGAGACGACGAGAAAATGATCCCGCTATCCAGGCACAAAACCCGCACCATGTGAGTCAAAATAAATTTCCACATTGATAAAGTTACGGACTCTTGCCACACGTGGTATGGTATGCGGTCAGATGGTCGGGCTGCGCTCACCTGCACGGCTGCGTCGTCCTCTTGGAGAAGCTCGACGAGGGCCTGGTATACGGGCCGCCTCAGCTCGCCTTTCACCTGCGAAATAGTTGGAAGGCAAGATCAGGAGACTGAGCATGGGCCAAGCTTACGTTGGTGCAGCCCAGCAACGACAGAATTATTGAGCGAACAGAATATGAGCTTGAGTCTGCCGCCTTTAGGCTAGAAAAATGGCGCAACCACAACTACTCGGACAAAGGAAGCGAACATATACAAGCTTCGAGATCATCAGCAAATATGAAGGAGCTGCGCGCTTTCACCTTGGCAACCCATCTTCCCAGCAGCCAGGCTACGCGGGACCGCAGTAATCTTCCGGTGACGTTCCGATCCAAGAGCTCGACAGAAAGCGAGCTATCATACCTGGAAAAGCAGCACGCAAGGCATAAGCATTCCCATATACATTTAGTCGCACCAAGAAAGCCTCTGCCCCTTGCATAGGCTCAACACGAAGCGGGAAGCCCCTGTTGGGCTAGCAAGCGAGGTGCAGCTCTCACCAACTTTTGAAATCAACCGACTCCTCCAGGTCATAGTTGGCCAGGCCCACCGCGTTGTAGGCCGCCTCTTTGAACAGTAGAGCGGGAGAAGCTTCGTTCCCCGACGTTGATGCCGGGCCAGGGGGACACGCTTCCGATGCCTCCTTCAATACGGCCAGCACAACCGGGGCCAGTATCTGCGAACGCGGTAGCCGATAGCTAAGGTTCCGTTGGTGGCCCCGGCATTCGAAAGGAAAGAGCATCAAATGCCCGGCCTTCGCGTTGAAAGCTCGCAGGTGGAAGTCATTTGCCTTCTGGAGGACAAAGCACCATTCAATGCAGCATCTTCGTGTGCATGTCCGCAGCAAGCAAGAGAAGCTCAAGTGGAACACAATTGCCAAACCGTCTGCAAGTGGCAGTGCTCACCTCTCGATGATCTTCAAACAACGCCAAGAAGAGGCCCTCCGCACAAGGACGGACTCCGTCCGTGGGGCCGGCAATACTTTCTTCGTGATAGTAGTCTTCCGGGCTTTCTGCCAACTTCTCCAGATCGTTGGGGCTCAGGATGAAGAACCTGGGAACAACGAAAATATTACGACCGCTGCCGATTGCAGAATGATTGTGCAGATTGATTGTGCAAAAGAAGCACCAATTTGGAAAATGTATCCTCAAACGGCTAAAAGCTGTGAAGCAGCAAGTGCACGGGTCTCAGCACAAAGCAACGTTGACGAAGCCTTCCCGGCTCAGACTCGACAGAGGGGATGAGCGTGGCGGACCAATCCCTCACCTTTGGATCAGCAGCCTGCATAAGTACACCAGTTTCTCCTGGCTCATGAACGCATGCACTACCTCGCGCGCCTGGGCCGCTAATCGGCCCTTAAGGTCCGCTTGGGACTCCTCTCTCTCTCCCAGGATCCGGCCCTTCTGGGATTCTCTATATGCTACACATTTTAGCACGTTCTGCACAATCGTCATGCACTGCACTAAAGCGGGATCAAGCACGGCTCCATTGGAGGGGACATCTGCAATCTGTCGATAGCAATAATCAAGGACCGGGAAAAGCAGGCTCTTGCTTGAGAAAGAAAAGGGGTGGGTAGCCTGCACGTCGTTGATTGTCTTCAGCAGCTTGAGGGCTGACTTCTCGTTAAACTTCTTGAGTTCGTTGTCCAGAGCTTGTTGTCGTAAGCTTGCTTCTGCATAACATTACATGGAAATTGAATCAATATAGAGAGGGATGCAAGAACTCCGTTCGTTTGAACCTGCTCGAACCCCGTCCAAAGCTAGCTTTGGAGCCCAAACATGTATATGTCAAAATCTTCCACTCAAACAAAAACGAACACTTAGTGTGGGCCAACAGCGACGCTTCCCCTCTTCATGTCGCGGATGGGAGATGTAATTTATATCTTCCAGGCACAACCGAAAAGGCCCTCAAAACAGCAATTAGCAGCGGCTTACCCAAAGGAATGAACGTCTGCACAGCTTGGAGGAGGGATGGAACGACCTTTTGCACCGTAGGCACTTCCTGCACCGCATCACAGTTGGATTTGAGGAGCTGTTTCAGAATGATGTTGGGCAAGACTGCCGGTGATCAGAGCAAAAGCCAAGTGAAATACGAGGTGGAGCGTATATTTCTTTGTGATCAGCAGGTCAATATTTGGTCCTCACCTCCACTGCTTTGGCGTCGCTGGGAAACCCAAACCTGAGCATCCTCCGAATCGATTTCAGGCAGAAGTACCACCGGTTACACGTGAGAAGGAGCGTTTTCATATCAGCTGGACTCAGTATCTGTCTGCCAGCCATGTTCTTAATCGAGGAGAGTGCATCGATGATGGTCTGAGTATCCCCACACCAATAGTGCCAACTATAGTCGAAAAGTTGCGAAGTGACCTGCAATCAATGGAGCTAGAGTGTAAGGTTCAGATCTGAGAATTTCTTAGTGCATCTTCGCCACTTCGATCTTGCCTACTAATTGGTCATTGTAATCATCTGGGCCACAAAAACAGTGTGACTCAAAATGCTTCGTCACAGAATACCTGATAGAAGCAAGATTATCCATATGGTCCAGGCCGAGCTCCAACATATCAATCAGAACAGCAGTAGGTTACAACAATCCTCGAACTTCCAGCACATTTTTTGGTGGTTCTTCAAGTAGGGCTAGATATGTTGAAGGCCAGTGGTCGAAGAAACGTTCCACCAAGGCCAGTCAATTCGAACCTCTCAGCGTACATTTCCTTATGTGGGTATGGACTTTTCGCCCTGCCGATAGCCTTCGCTCACCTCAGCGAAAACCTTCTGGTCGGCTGCAAGGCGCTTTGATGCCAGTTCTTTCAAAACTTCATCCAAGGTGAGGCATATCCTTTCCGTCAGAAGGAGATCTGCACCTTGAAGCTTCTGGATGAGGGAGCCAAATAAATCCGGCCTGCAAAATTGGCGAGTGTTTGTAACCAATAGAATCTCAGTGGGATGTGCTTTGCAGCTAGTAACAGAATATGGGACTGAGGCCAACTGAGGCTTGCAGACGTAGTTGCAACACGTGACAGGAGAGAAACTTGATTCTGAAGAAAAACTTACCAAGCCTTGGGAAAGTCCACCCGGGCTATTTTTGCAATAAGTACAGCTAGTTGAGAGGCAACCTGTAACATCCAAACAGAGCAAGTTGGAAAGTCAGTGATTTGCACTTCCGCTCATGCTCAAGACGTAACACTGATCAGAATACCAGGACAAGCAGTACAACCAAATATTCTTAGAGCGATAAGCACCTGCCACTGGAAACCCATGCACTATCCGCTCCAATCAAGCAGGTTGTGCACACCCTACATCCTTTGATTGACAAAAGGTGTCACCAGACCTGATCATCCTCGTCGCCCAGCTGATTCAAGATTCTGGTTCGAAGATGTGCCTTCTCTTCTTCACTTATTGCGCTGCATAATCAAAAGCTCCATTGTAAAGACGTCAATTTCATGGTTATTGACCTTGATGATCACCTCTGATTTAGAAGCTGCTGATCTAGAGATTGTCAATATGCACTTCCTTAAGCACCAACTGTCCAGCATCTCCCAAGAATCTCATCAAGATTCATGAAAACTTGCAAGCAATCAGCAACCTCCTGCACAGACTGTGAACTCATTTCAAAACTTTCAGGATAAGGATTGCTCTTCAGGCAAAATGGGTTTGCTTGACCCCTCACTTTGGGTGTCGTGTCCGCCAGTACTTCTTCGTGCACAGTTTGAGGTATACACAACTCATCCATCGTATGTCCTGTTGCGGTCCTTTTGCACCCAGTATCTCCTGGGACAAGAAAATGATAAAAATTTTAACTTAGGAACTCAGCATTTGAAAGATACAGGAAGCGGGGAAAGTTTTGCTCAAATACTGCCTACAGATCAAAACTCACCATCCTCAATGTGCACCATGTTAACAGGCAGTGCTTCAAACATCCTGGTGATTTCCAAAACCATCTTCACAAATACCAGACACTCACCGTCCCCAATAGATGCATGGATTGTCTTCGAAACAGATGCAAACCACGCTCTACAAGGGTGGTGAGCCTATAATTTCCACGCACAGCCTCCAGACCTTCACCAGCCGCTCACCATTAAGCAGGAGCAGAATCCTGGGGTTGTTTCAGCGGCTGCCAGAGCCGCTTCCGCCTCCTTCCGTATGTGCCCATCCTGCGAAAGCGCTCTCTGGAGCAGCTCGTACACCACCCCTACGTTCGCCCCCATTTTGTATTGCTTGCGATCGCACTGTCTGTCTGAACGCCTTCAAGCGAAGAGAGCATCAAGGCGAGCTCATCAAAGGAGCATCATATCTACGTTGAGGCAGGTGCAACGCCGTGAACCCCCCATCACAATGTGCCCAGAATTCCATCTGGATTGGGGAAAACGAAAGCTGAAAGTCTCATATAAGCGCAACTACAACCCAGCTCGTATAGGAGAACCTGGCCCGGTAGACTCGAGCTTCTCTGAGCGCTGGTCCGCTTCATGTTGCCCGGTAGATCCAGAGCACTTGGAGGACGGGCGAATTTGACATCACCAATTTGATCTGCATCTTCTCTTCGCTGTTGAGACCATGTGACAGATGTGTTGCCCTCGTCGGTTTCCGTTTCGGGTCAATGCCCGGTTCCGCCGGAACTTTCTACCGGTCACATTCCATACGTTTCCGCCTACACCTTCGCTGATTCCCCGACTCCCCAATGCGACGGTGGGTTTCAGGCTAACCACATATGTTTGCTTTGCCAAAACCAATACCTGTATGAGCAGCATTCTGGGCCCATCCTGAGTCTGCAAATTGGTCATCTCGAAGGATTTTCAAGCATGAGAGCCCTGCTGATGAAGGTCCACGAGAGGCCCTTGACCTTCCTGCGACTCAAAAAAGACGGCGGTTCTCTATTTTAATGTGCGAAAGATCACCACGCACCCGGGCACGCACCTTCCGCATCTGAGCTATTCATGACTGTGCTCTGCACACAATCCTTGCTAGATAATCAACGACCTTCAGGCTTGCATGCAATGAACTGAAGCATATATCGATTGACATGGCTGGATGTGACAACAAATGATACTCGCCAAAGCTCTTGCTCATATAAGAATCTGGACTCAATACCCCGGACAAAGTGCTTGCGGATACTCGAACTCGAAGGATAGTCTGGCGTTCAAAACTCAAGATTGGATCCATATGTCACATGTAACCCACGAGGCTACGATGCATTTGTTTCTTTACCACGATTCTTGAAGCAGATGACTCATGCCGTCTCTCAAAGGCATAATCAACATCATTGCCGAAAAACTTGAACGAGACAATGTTCCGAATGATTTAGAGATGCCTCCCAAAGAACGGGTTCAAGAAAGGGATTCTCTAATGAGACAAAGCCCTAAACAAGAAAGGGATTCTCTAATGAGGCAAAGCCCTAAACCAGACCGATGACGTTGCGATGTAACTATTTCGGGTGGGCCACACAGATGCATGTCCATGCGCTGCATGAACAGAGCCAACCGCCGTCCGCAAGTTTCATGCGGCCGGATTTGTGTGGGGGATATTGTCAATGAGTCGCTCAGGTGCAGCCCGTTCTAAATTAGGGGACAGACGTTCTGTACATTCAAGTAGTGAGTTGATCCAACCTGCAACCCCGCCTGTCTCAAGGGAACGATGGAGCAACGCATGCTCCCCCGGCAGTTGCCGCATTATACTAGTATCCGCTGGGGTGCTCTTTCCTCCAGGCCCAGGCCATGCGGAGGTTCTCCTCGAGGTCTGTAAACCGCGCTTGCCAGCCCAGCTCGCGCTGAATCTTGCTGGGGTCGCTGAACACCTCGGCGTAGTCCCCGGGCCGTCGCTCCGCCTGCTCCACCACCTTGATCGGCTTGCCCGTCACCTTGAGGCACGCATCCACAAACTCGCGCACCGAGTACCCTGCACCCACCCCGCCACGTCAGGCAGGCGCGAGCAAAACAACGCAGCCCTGAGGCCACGCCCAAGGACGGGCCCGCCCAAGCATCGCAAGAAGGCACTGCCCGAGCAGCAGCAACTCGCTGTCAACCTGATCGGCCCTATGTTTCAAGCGAAAATTGCAGGCCTTCCTGGGCTATGTCACGAACTGAAGCCTGCAAGCGTGGCAACCGGACGGGGAGAATGTAGGGACGTCGCGGCACACATCTTGCAGCTCTGCTGAATCCGTTGGTGGACACGAGCTGTTCCTTGACGCAAGAGGGACCATCTAGTTTGCCCGCCCTGGCTCTCACCCTTGCCCGTGCCGACGTTGAAGGTGCGGATGACGCCCGGCTGCAGCTGCGGCAGGACCGCCACGTGCGCGTCCACCAGGTCGGTCACGTGGATGTAGTCGCGGATGCACGTGCCGTCCCGCGTGGGGTAGTTGGTGCCCATCACCTGCACCACCGCGCAAGACGCACGTCAGCAACCCACCGCAGGCCCGCCCAAGCCTCTCAAAAGTGCCGAGGTGTCCAGCAAGTATGTGCCCGAGTGGAGCCGGTATCGCTGCTGATTCTCGCGTCGCCGTCCTCTTCTGTGAAAGCCCCAATTACAAGCAGCAAACCCCGCTCGCTGGCAGGGAGGTCGACAGCGCAAACCTCCTGTCTTTTCTTGCCCGGCTGACTGCTGAAGAGGGCCTACCTTCAAGCCCGGGATGTGGCCCATAGCCGCGTCGAAGCAGGCCCCCGATATCCGGCCGTAGTGCCGCAGCGCTGGCCGCGGCCATTCCCCCAGGCGGCCCTCGGGGTCGGAGCCAATGACGTTGAAGTACCTGCAAGGCGACGTCCCAGCTCAAAGGGGAGGGGGATACGCACTGGCACCCCAGCGAGGCAGCGGAAACGCAGCATCACGAGGACGAGAGGGCCGACATGCGGCGAGAGAGCAACCCGCAGCCACCAGCACCTGGACCTGTTTGCACCCCACTCGTCTTCGCCCACGGATGCAGGTCCCAAGAAGTGTCAGTCTGCTTCTCAGCTACACCGGCTTGCAAGGTGGCAAACTGCTGCCGACGCCTGGACTCCGCCCAGTTGCTTCTTATCCGCCTTGTTCGTAATCTCACCGTAGGATCGCAAACGCAATGTCCGGGTTGGCTTTCGAGAAGTCCCGGATCATGTCCTCCGCCATCTTCTTGGACAGGCCGTACGGGTTGATCGGCCGCTGCAGCGGCCCCAGCAGCAGCCCCCGCGTCAGCCAGCGGGCCCCACGCGGGACACAGGGGAGCACCAGACAGCCATCCACAAGCAAACAGCAAGGGGGAAATGACCATCACAGCTGAAACGAGCATAGGGCACAGGATCTCGAGGCTGGGAGAGGGCACGGTGCAGTCGCATGGGTACGGCGCGGCGCACCTGGGGCGTGTCCTCGGTGATGGGCATGGTGTCGGGCTCGCCGTAGGTGGCGCAGGTGGAGGAGTAGATGATGCGCTTCACGCCGTGGCGCTGCACGGCCTCCAGCAGCGTGAGCGTGTTGGCCGTGATGTTGTGGTAGTACTGCAGCGGCTGCTCCACGCTCTCCCCCACAAACGCCACCGCCGCAAAGTGCATCACCGCGTCAAAGTGGTTGCGCGCAAACAGGCGCTCCACGGCCGGCAGGTCCCCCAGGTCCGCCTCCACAAACTGGAGCCGCGCCGCGGGGGCCAGCCGCTGCAACACGCGCACCGCGCCCAAGTTGCCGCGCGACAGATTGTCCTGCGAGCCACACAGCAGCGCAGGGTCAGCGCGCGCAGGGGCCTACCTACGGGCAGAGGGCAGCGCACGCGAGGAGAGGGGAGGCGAAGCAGGCGGTGAGTGTGCGGGGGACAAGCAAAGGGCCGGGGGGGCTCACCACAATGGTGACTCTGTGGCCGTCGGAGAGGAGGCGCAGCGTGGCATGGGAGCCAATGAAGCCGGCCCCACCCTGCAAGCAGACAGGGGGAGGGGCGAGTGAGCAGAGGGAGGAAACATGGGGCGCCCCCAGGATCTGAACTAGTCGAGGTAAGGCAGACCGGCAGAGACCTGGAGTCAGCTAGATGGAGCCTGGGCATCGGTGGTCCTCCAAACATGTCGGACAGCCAATGACCCATGGATCTGGCTGCGGCAGCCAGCATGGGCCAGCACAACGGCAGAGTGAGAGGGGAGTGCGCTTACGGTGACCAGAACATGGGTGACGCCCTTCTGCGGCTGGGAGAACTGGAGACGGGGAAAAGCACGTGTGAGAAGCAGGGCAGAGCAAGCAGGCCGCCAGCAACAAGAAGGGCCCCCACAGAGGGAGCGCAAGAACGGGCCCAGCCAGCATGGTTGCGCATCAAGGAGCCACCTTGCCGGGGGAGAGCTGCGGGAGACTGACCACGGAGGGGGGCGCGTAGGAGATGCCGGTGCTGAGGTACTTGAAGAGGAGCACGGCGGCGAGGAGGCAGCCCGCCAGCAGCAGTGCCTGGCTCACCTGCACACAGCAGCGCACAGCACAGGGGGGGTTCACCGCGGGCAGCGCAAACGGGGCGCAACAAGCTGGCAGCAGGCCCCTCACACACTGGTGGGCTGTGCCTGGGCGGTCCTTCGAGGTTGCCGAAAATGCCACTCCAAGCCTGTCACCAATAGCAGCTCCAGGCATCCCGCCATGAGGACTTTGGCAGCTGCGAAGCACTTGCCATAAACAGGCTGACGCTCAACCCGCCGTTGGCCAAAGCGCAAAAGTAGCACATTTGGTGTGACCTGTAAGAATGTGAAACAGCACAAGAAAGACAACCAAAGAGCCACATCCTCTCCACGGCATACAAGTACAGACACCCCTTGGACCCGCAATCAAGGTCGCCCTGAGATCTGCTCAGCCCAATGATCCCCCATCTCCATAATGCAGTTTCTGCAAGCCCGGCATCCACGCCGTGATGGTGCTGGCCTTGCTCCTGCGCGGCGGACATGCTGCGTGGGCCGCGGGCACTCACTCTGCTGCTGGATGCCGGCCAGCCCCCCATGCTGCCAGTCCGCTTGGCCAGCGGAGACCTGCGGCCTTCCATACACCAGGCGGGGCCCACAATTCGAGGTAAACCCACCTCCGCAAGGGGCGGCAAAGCCAACCCAGCAGCTTGCAACAGAAAGGCTGTATGTTGCCCGATCTTGCTAAAACTGGAGGGAAGGAACCTCTGTCCTAGTTCTAACTCCTAGCGTCCTGGGGACCGTCCTAGCGACCTCGTTCCTGCGCCAATTAATACCAGATCCGGAGCTAGCTCAGTAGCCATCCCGATTCCTGAGGCCAGAGCCTGAGGTCCTCATGCAATTGCAATCTTGAGCCAGGCTGACGTTCATATTAGGCCTCACGAGGGCGGCGCCTCCGCCGCCGTCGCTGGCAATTTTGGCAAATCGACGTACACGGTACACGGCCAGCCTGCCGCGGGTGGTCAGAAGTTCGTAAACTACGGTAGACCTTCGAAGGGTCAGCTTCAAACCATTCCAGGGTTTTCGACCGGGCAAGCAGCCGTTTGCCGCGAAGGTACTACTCAAGGCAGGCTAGGCCCTAGGGCCTGAATTACCGTAGGAGGTTTAACTGGCGGGTTTTGTACAACCTAGCACTCGTTCCGTCCACTAACCCGTATTGTGTACCGGCGTCGAGCTCGGGACACTCTATTGTGCAAAATGAGCCGTCCAAGATGCAAACAATTATTATCGGACGGTTCGAAACATTGATTTTACGGCTCTCGGGCGAGTTGCACTCGGAACGGAACTCGTGAAGAACTTGGAATTTAGTGACTACCGTAGGTAGTCCTGAC